GGCGGGCCCGCGCGCTGCGGCGGGCCAGCTCCAGGCGGCAGCGGGGCCAGCGGCGGCGGGCGCGGGGGGCGGGGCCGCCGTCCTCCAGGCGGGCAGCCTGCTGGCAGCGGCTGCGAGTCGGGAAGAGGCCGCGACGCGTGGGCCCGGGGAGGGTGGCGCTTCTATCCTCGAAGTCGACCTCCTCCCCCTCATCGTCGTCGCCTTCATCCTCGGCGTCCTCGACGATGACGTCGGGCGTGCTGCGGCCGTCGAGCTGGGCTGCGGTCCTCGGTGAAAGGGCCAGCTCCGCTGCGTAGAAATCCTCGTAGTACACGATGTGTTCCCGGGCTGCCTCTGGCGTTCCTGGCGCCGTGGGCTGCGGTGCAACCGCCTCAGGCACTGGCCCCGCGCGCCCTTGCTGATGGTCATCGCCAGCTCGACTCCTCGAGCGAGTGTAGTCGCTGATGGGCCTGCAAGGTCATCTGGTACTGCGACCAGCACAACCGCGTCGTCGAGCTCGGCGGGCCCCCCTAGGAGGCCTTGGAAACCCGCAGCGGCTGGATGATCAACGTCATCGTACGTGTGAAGTCCCGTTCCTTTGGGGCCGCGTCGGCCCAGGCGGGGAGCGAGACGGCGTCCATGGGTGGGGCCGCCGGCGCGGGGGGCGCCGGCGCCAGTGCCGGTGCGGCGCTGGCTGCAAGGCGGGGGCCCAGCGGCAGCGGCCGCGTCCGTGCCCCAGCGCAGGGCGGCGGCGAGCGCCAGGGCGGCGAACGTGGCGGCGGCTGCCATGACTGAGGCCTTCCTCCCTTCGAAGAGAGAGTGGCTCGGCGCGCCGAGCCAAAAAGGCTTGAGCGAGCCCCTCCCTACTTCTCTGACCTCTCACCGCTTAAACCCTACGGTCTAAGCTACCGCACTGAACTGCTAATCGCGGAAGCTCGGTTGTGGGCGCTTCCAGGCCAATTCGGGCACAAATCGTGGTGGACGTCGGCTTCTGGCCAACACACTCACCAAGACCCGAGCCCGATGAGGCCTTGCGGAAGTTCGGGAGCGGCAATGAGGGGGGTGTCCAAAAGGGGGGGTGCAAATCATGACCGGCGGCATGTGCGCGGCCCAGCGGGGGGGCCAGGGACGTAATGAAATGAGAAGAGGCGCCATGACATCTGGGGAAATATCATGGCCCCCGCCATGATATCCCCCCCCCTAGTCATCACACCCCTCTTTTCCGCCCCCGAGAAGTGATGGGCGGGCCAGATTGTGTACAAATCTCAATGAACATCGGCTCCAGGCCAGAGCCAGCACCGAAACCCGAGCCCGGAGTGGCCTTCTGGAGGCTCGGAGGTGGATACGTCGAGGAACAAGCGCCGGTGGTATGTAGGCTGCCCCGACCATGCGGAATGCGAGTGCGCCAGTCGGTGCTCCGTGCAGCTGGGCGCACGGAGGAAGGGCCAACGTCCCTCCTCGGGGCCTGGGGTCCACCATCGCGCGGTCAGTGACACGCAGGCCTCTCACAAAGTCACACAACCAATTTCAGGCTTGCCCCCACACGAGCAAGTCCAAGACGGTGGTATGTGCTGCGTCCCCCGCGGCTTGCTCTGTAGAAGCATGAAATCAGGCGCAACGTCTGCTGTCTTGCAGCCAGGCACTTGGACATATCCAATCCCGAACGGCGCAGAACGTTCCCGAGCCGTGCTTGACCTATCCGTCGAAGCGCCTCAGAATTAGATCCCCATGCCACGTATTTGTTGGGCCATGGTGTGTCTTGAGATCTCACTCTACCGTTCAAGCCCCCCGGGTGTTGCCAGAGGTGGCCATGGCCAAGGGCGACCCACGATTTTTCCAGGGAGACCCAGATGGCCTTCAGAGCACCTTTCACGAGGCCGAGAAGGCCCTAGGGACGCAAAACTGGAGCGAAAACCTGGTAGGCACTCGGGGCCGATACCACCCGTGGCAACCACCGAACACCTCGCCTGAGTTGCAGAGTCAGGGGGGAGGTTATCGGCCTTGTACTTGCCGCCAGCTGCGCTGCCGCCGGCGCCCATCGACACCGCCCAGGCGCGCCGGCCGCGGGAGTGTCACCGTGCAGGGCAGCCCGTTGAGGACTCGAGGGAGGCGCGGGGAGAGCAAGGAGCTATACTCCCACCAATCCTCCGGTGGTTCAGAGACTTCGTTCTTCCTGCGCCTTCGGGAAGGGGCGCAAGAATTTCCGAACGCTCCCGGGCGCTTCTGACGTGTCTCGCGCTGGCCTCTGGGGAGCCAAAACCGCCCAAACCGCCTCTGACATCCCCCAATAGCCTTCCAATCAATGCGCAAAAAAGGCCCAGGAACTATTGGTAGCCTCATAGAACCGTCCTGGGGCTCTCACGGAGGCCTCTTACGTCTTGGAGGCTCTGGGAGATGGCTGGCCCAAATCCGTCGGAACACCCTTTTCGCATGCTCAGCTCATCAATACTGCCGGACTCCGGACAACATAACATTCTTGAGCAACAAAAATTCTCCGCCTGCCAAAACTGAAGAGTATTCGAGGGTGCCCTGCCCAGGACGCACAAGAACGTCCAACAAGCACGAAGATCAGCGGCGAGCGAGGGGGGAAATGAGAAGGAGAAAGCCTTTTCGGAAGGCCCGGAAGTCCCCTGGTCTTCTGTAACAATCCCACCAGCCCTTTAGGACGTAGGTGGTCTGGGGTGTTTTGCCTTCCATCTGCCCGTGTTCCCTTTCGGGGAAGGGTTTATCCTCCTCCTGCCCCCTCCCCTGGACCTGACGGGGCTGGTCGCGAGTTGTCAGGGCGTTCAAAACGGCCTCGGCGAGGAAGCCGAAATCATTGGTTTTACACTGCGTTTTGGCAGAATTTTGGAATCTGGGGGGGGGGGCACCGCTGATTAAAGCTCCCCTCTTGTTTGACCGATGTCCTCCAAGATGGCCCCAAGAGCGCTCCCAAGGCTTTCAAGAGCGCTTCAAGAGGGCCCCAAGAGGCACCTAGGAGGCCTCAAGAGGCGCCCAAGAGGCCTCAAAGAGGCTCCCAAGAGACCCCCAAGAGGCCCCAAGAAGCTCCCCGACGCACCCAAGACGCTCCAAGAGGCCTCCGGGGCCGCCAAGAGGCCCCGAAGACGCACCAAGAGGCCTCCACTGGGACACCCTCCCTTTGCGTGCTGCCCACTTCCTGATCGAGGCAACTCCTCTGGGCATGGATGGGCTGGTGGGGTCATTTTTTGGGTCAGCGGGCTGACGCGTAAAACTGTCGCCGAGAGGGGGGTCCGGGGCACGGTCCTGCCTAATTAACTACCGAGCCACGCGCGAGACGGCCGGGCCAGCACTCAGAAGCGGCTGCCGGGGGGCTGCAGCTGAGGGGAGCTGGCTGTGCAGTCTGCAGACGGCCAGGGTAGCTGGTGCAACGTGCATGACGGAGGGCTGGTGGGGTTACGCGAAACTTCTACCATTTTCTAAGCCTTCCCCAAAGACAAGCAAGAACTTCTCAGAAGGCGCGAAGGCTTCTGAGAAGTCCCACCGCCTTCTGAAAAGGCCTTTTCCTCCTCATTTCCCCCCCTCGCTCGCCGCCGCATCAGGGCACCCTCCCCCAAGCGACCTCGATCTTGTAGCTCGGTCCGATTGCACATCAAGAGTGCGCAGGGCGACCCCACGGGCCCCGAGGATCCGCCGAAGACGGCCTCCGACGCCCGAGGGGGGCCCAGGCAGCTCCCAAGAGGCTCCCCACGGCGAGTGCTCAAACTGCGAGCTGGGCCCCCCTCGCCCGAGAGGGGGGCCCGAAACAGCCGGCAGGCCCATGAGCCCAGGACGACCCCTGGAGGCTACCGGAGGCGCCCAAGAGGCCCTTCGAAGTGCCCAGGAGGCCCCAAAGACGCCTCCAAGAGGCCTCACGAACCGTCCAAGAGGCCCCCCTTTCGAGAGCGACAGATTCCAGGACCGGGAATCTGGACTGGCGCAGCCATGGCTAGGAGCGGAGGGCGATGCCAAGGTGTACTAGTTGCGGCAGGGGCTAGCCAACCTCCAGAGAGATTGCAATCATGTGTTGTCGGCCCCACAATGTGTCGAAAACGCCGGGGGGAGAGCCCCGACATCTTACTGTCACAGCCGCGCCCACGTTCCAACATCAGAGTCTACTAACACTGTAGCTGGGAATGGCGGCTTTGGGAGATTGCTCTGCACACGTGCGCGCGATGTGCCAATTGCTTGTCGCACTCTCTGCTTTCATGCGTACCTCTTCAACTCGCCCTCTCAACCTCAACGCGCTGTCATGCTTCAAGCATGGCTCGTGAAAGCTCCGTGTCCTCCAGCTGTGGCCTTACTGATAATCATCAGATCGTGTCTAAGCAAATGAATGTCTCAGCCTGCTCCAACTGGACCCCTTATCAGGGTCACAACATATTCCTTCTGGGAGCATTGTCTTGACAATATCCAAGGCCGCCCTTTACACACCTAACATTATCCGAGTGAACCGTTCGATCAAATAGTGTGTGATAATGCGTTTTGAGGAAGGTTACTAAGTTACGGCTCAAGGCCCTTTAGACAAACTTTGGTTTGATAGGTTAGGACAACAATTGAAATATAATGCTCTGTCTCCTCCTCCTCCTCCGCCCCCCTCCCTCCTCATCTTCTTCCCCACCTCCCTTCCCCTTACACGTGTGGCACTTGTTTTCAGAATTACTGCCTGGCACTATTTCTCAAGATGCAAGCGGTACCCGCCAACCCCAGAAGGCAAAGTGGCAAATCATGAACTAACTAGTCAACGAATAAAAACACAGAACATCAAACTTCCCTGGAACACATACGACGCATGACATTCGCTGGTGCTAACGAAGAACCAGCGCAAGCAAACCAAACGCTGGCCTCATTAGCAGCGATAAGCGTACCGCGCCAATCGCGCGCCAAGCACTCTGGGACAGGCCATCAATCCTCCCTCGGGAAGCTTCGTAATCGCTAACACTCCCGCATTGTTATGCCCTTCCCTTTTTCTGCGCAGCTCCGCGCTCCGCCTGCTGCAACTGTGCGCGCAAGGCGGCGCCGGTTCACAACTGTGGCGACTCGGCGGCCTGCGGGACGTCATCCACAACTTCCTGCCTCCACCGAGCGAACCGCCGAAATAGGCCAGGACAGAATTGAACCGTGCGTGCGACGATGGGCCAGGAGGTGTGTAACAAATGCTGTAACAGATGCCACGGTTTGGTACATGTTCGGGAGGCCTTTCTGTCTGATCGCATCGCCAGTGGCATCGAATCCGCTTCGAATCCACGGACACATGCCGAATCCGCATCGAGCCCACGTCGGACAGAAGAACATACCGCCATTTAGAGGACAGACGAGGTGCAGATGCAACGTAAGTCATGGTGTGCCATCTTGAGTCTGACAGGACCTTCAAAGGATCAGACGAGAGGACCTTTCGGTTCGCTGGCACGACCAGTGACGGACAACTTCAAATGGTCAAATCCATGCATGTGCCCAAGCGAGTATGCCGGGGCGTCTGCTGGAAGGAAAATCACAAAAAAAGAATGTGGCGCGACTGGGAAAAGTGCTCCTTGCAGAGCGCCACACATCACATCCTCGAGCGTTCAACATATTTGGGGTCCAGGAGCCTGAGCTCGAATCCTGCTTTCTCAATGTCAATGCCGCCCTCGACTGGATAACACACGCTGCGAACATATTCCAAATCAACGCCTCATGAGATGGAACCGATCCGTGTCACGCACTCTGGAGAAGCCGCGAGGGTTCGCCGCCTCCTGTTCCAGCGCCGCCCGCAGGTACCTCCTACCTCCCTCCTGCCTCCCTCCTGCCTCCCTCCCCCCTCCCGTCCCGCTGCGAACATATTCGCTTGAAAATCTCTGGGAGCTGGCGGGCCTGGAAGGTCGCTAAGAGAGAGAGATCAAGAATGATCTGACCTTACTCTAGACCTGCCCGACCCCCCCCCGAGGAAGGAAGGGACAAATGCAACGGATGGTCCTAGCACGTCGAACCCCAACTCCCTGAATTTGTGGGACAGTCGACTGGACAAACAAAAAACGCACAACTCGGGGATGTACTGATAGGTGGCGTCCATCCTCGGTTGTCGCGCGTGCGAACTCAATATCCTGGGTGTATATCCCCTAAGAAGCGGCCTGGCGCTGGGAGGAAATTCGGGGACTGGAAGCGAGAAGCCGCCTGCGACAAGGAATGGTGGTCAGGCGGGGGCCCTCGTCTTCGATGCAAGCACATATGGGCCGAACCCGGGCTTCGCCGCGAGGCGCCGCCTGCTGCAGCAACTTGTCGGAGGGCTCGTTTTGCTCCTGGGCAACCATCCCTCCCCCCCCGCCGGGTGCGTGCCTGCGTGTGCGTGCGCGGGCCGCCTAATTATGACCAGCTTCGGCCTAGCGCTCATGCGAATTCCTTGACCGCCGCCTCGGCTGCGCCGTCCCGGCTCCTGTGCGGGGCCGAATGCCTTGCCCGCGCTCGCCCAGCGCGCGTGGATGAACGGCATGGCGAATCGCGAGTCCGCTGACGACCGACAGCGTGTGCCAAAATGCACCGCAGATTCACGAGGATACCATTCAACCAGCTCTGAGGAAGCCGCCGCTTTGTTTCAACTGCTGTCTGGTCTCTTGAACGCGTCGCACGAAAAAAGTGTGCGTGTGTGCGCGTCCACCGCGCAGCGCGGTTCCCTGTGGGTGATCCCATGTTTGTTTCTTCGCCAGGCCGCGTGAGTTCCGTGCCGCTTCGCTGGCCTCGGTGGCTCTCCTGGGCGCTTCCGACTGCCTTCGCCGCGTCGCTGCGCGCGTGGCCGCGACGCCAAAAAACACGTGCGCGCGTGCATGTGGGAGTGAGTGTGCGCGTGTGCCCGAGGGTCCAGCGGCCCGCGCCCGCTCCCGCAGCTCTTCGACACTTTTCGCCATACTCCGCCTCGTCGCTGCGCGCGAGGCCGCGACCGGAAAACAACATGTGGTGTGTATGTGTGTATGTGTGTGTGTGTGTGTGTGTGGGGGGGGGTGGGGGTGGGGGTGGGTGTGGGTGTGTTTTTGTGTGTATTTGTGTTTGTGTATGTCTGTGCATGTCTGTGTGTATGTCTGTGTGTGTGTGCGCGTGCGTGTGCGTGCGTGTGCGTGCGTGTGCGTGCGTGTGCATGTGTGTGTGTGTGGATGCGTGCGTGCGTCTTCCCAGCCAAACTGCGAGTCCGCCGCGCCGCCGCGGACGTGGCCGCGATGCCAACAAGTGTGTGCGTGTGTGTGTGTGTGTTTGTATGCGTGTGTGTGTGTTGGTGTGTGTGTGAGAGCGCGTGAGTGCGTCGCTCCAACTGCAGCGGGCGGAAGGTCGGAACTGCCTGTATCTCTCGGAGCTTCAAGCCTGCATGGATGCCTTCATGCAGATGAATAGAGTGGCAGCGAGCGACACTGTATGTGAGAAGGAGGGAGTTCTGATTGGCGGTTTTCTGAGCCGTACAACGGCCTCTTTTGTACTGAACGTGACTGAGCACAATTTGGTTGCCGTGTGCGCGGAACAAGGCGTGCAGTGGAACGCATTGGTGGCTCAGCTTCGTTATATGGATGAGATGGTAATGATTTCGTTTAGCATGTGCCGCAGCTGTTTGGCAGAACACTTGAAAACCATGTACCCCATTTCGTTCGATCTGTCTCGCGAGGCTCGCGCGCTCCACTGGCTTGATCTTGAATTCGACCTGGACCGATTCGTCCACAACTTCCGGTTAAGTTCAGTTCAGCTAAGGTATAAACATCTTACCGCCGTAAGCATCAGATACTCGTGATATTCGTGCATACTTGCTTTCACGTGTGACCCGGTTTGAGGAAATGTACCTGTCAACAGAGCATTTGGCAAGCCATGTGGCGACGCTGCTAACTGATATGTCCCGTGCGCAGTGGTCTGTCAAGCACTTTAGGGCGCTGCATTTTATGACCAGAGGCAGACGTCCAAGCCAATACATGAAGGCGCTGTGGGCGGGTCTGCTGTCAGGAGTGGCAGTGAACTGGTAATAATTTCTCAGGGCATGTAACCACTCGTTGGGAAGAATGTATGGTCCACCTCCCCCTCTCTTCTGCTAGTGGTGTCCTTGGCTTGCCATGTCATCTACACGCTTGCAACGTCTTTTCTCCCATTGCAATTTGTACCATCGAATCCTTGCAACAACAAGCCGCGTTCAAAATCATGACACTCCATCCGTGTGAGAACCAATGCTTCATGTAATCGGCTCCAGCAGTGGTTGCAGCTGTGCTTCTTTCAGAATGCTCAGTGTGTGTGTGTGTGTGTTGAGTTTGTGTGTGTGAATGTTCGCTTCGCTTCGCCTGGTGCTGAGGCTTCTCTCTCGCGATCGCCAACGACTGTCACCGCTGTCGCCCCTGAACAGATCTGCGCTGCTGTGAATCGGCCATCGATGGCCGCCGGCTGTCCTCCCCCATCCTGCCCCCTCCCCCCTCCTCGAGATCCTCCGCCGCTCCCCGCTGGCTCGCCGCGGCTGCCGCCGCGGGCGGGGGCCCCAGTCCAGATGCGCCAGGAATCTGCCGAGGCGGTCGTAGAATGCGTCCCCCGCCTGGGCCGCGGCGCTTGTGAGCGTCCCGTCCCGCTCAGGGTGTTTTTGTTTGGTTGCGCACCCCCCCCCGCCTCCGCCGCATCACCACCTCGGAGAAGAGGTTGGGGAGGATGGTAAACGGGAAAGGGGGGGAGAAGGGAGAGGAGGGGGGCGGCCAGAGGGAGGAGAGGGGAGAGAGGGAGAAAAGAGGAAGCGACAGAGAGGATGAGGAGGGAGGGCGGGGAGAAGGGACGGAGAGGTGCGAGGAGGGAGTCAAGTTTCAAGGCGTGGCTGCGTTCCAAGGGCCATCAGAGTACTCGCGCGCCGATAGCCGGGCAGGCTGACATGGGACTGACCAACGACCGAGACGGGGAGAAAGGAAGACGGAGGAGGAATGGAGGCAGAACAAAACTACGAAAAACGTACACATCCGGAGGTCCGTGCGGATTTTTCGGATCGGCGCGGGGTCCCCCCGGCGGCTCTAAGAAGCCGCGTTCGCCTTTTCTGGGATTGGTCTCCCGACCTGCATGCACAGCCTGACCCATGCGGAACTCTGAGTGGGCACAGGCTCACACTACCTCACCATCTCCCTTCCGTCGCATCGCCCCGCGCTGCTCCCTGTCTGTTCAACGTGAACTCACCCTGTCAAGATCAACCAACGTCGAATCGGCGAATCGAATCATATCGGAATGTGCGTCAGACAAGGGCACCAGAAAAAATCGACATCGACTCGGATCGGCCGCGTCAGAATGGCACAACATCGCCACGCGACAATCAAACGCCGGATCGACTGAATGTCTGACTCGAATCGTGTTGGGCCGGCCGGAATCGATGGCGCAACCGGGCCCGTCTGGTCGAAACTGAGACCCTGGGCATCCCGCCCCGTCTGCTGCGCCGACCCCGACCCCTGCTCCGACCCCACCCGCGGGGGGACACGGCACTTCAGCCCCGCCTGCTGCTCCAGGCTGTTGTGGTCTCCGCCCTCCACGATCCGCCGTGCCCCCCCCCCCGTGGGGGAAGGGCGGCCAGAGCGGGTTCCCGCTCGCGTCGGGCGGCGGGGGGGAGAGCCAAAGGCGGGCGAACGGAGCGGCCCGTGCTGGCGCGGTGCGGTGCGGCTTTGTGTGCGAGGCATGAGTGCGGTGCAGTGCGGCGGATATGGAAATTTGCCGCACCGTTTGCCCGACGGTTGGAAAAAGAGCGGGGCGGTAAAAGGTGAGAGGGTTCCTCGTGGAAGGGAAAACCAAAGGGAAAGGAGGAGGAAGAGGAAATCTGAAGGCAGAGAGGAGGGTGGTCGAGGTTCCGTGATTCGGAACAGTGCGGTGAAAGAGCGGCGGGGAAAAAACGTAGAAGGGGGGCCGTTGACACCTACGCGGAGAGAATTGGCTGAGCAACGGATCCGACGCCTACCGATCGCTAGGACACTTTCGCGTTAAGTTGTTCAATCGGTCGCAATACTCTTGGCACGCTGAAGCGTGGTAGGATACCGAGCGCGGGTCACGGGCCGTATCCCCCCTGCAATTTCCTCATTTTCATGTTTGTCGTTCTGGTTGCTCGTGCAGGATATTTGCTGGCTGATGTGTTCTGAGCTCTGCTGAGGGAAACCTGCTAAGCTCTGTTAAAACGTGGCTAGCCTTGATCAGCCTTGGTACGCCATACTAAGCTCTGGTAAGCCTTGCGAAGCACTGCTGATCCCTGTTAAGCCTGGGGAAACTCTGCTACGCTGTCCTAAGTCCTGGTCCAGCCTGCTACGCTCGGGTAAGCAATGTTCAACCCTGGTAAGCTCTGCGAAGCCCTGCTACGCTTGGCCTTGTGGAGCCGAATTAAACTCGACACGCCTTGCTAAGCCCTGCTACGCCTTACTGGGCGTTGCTCGGCCTTGTCAAGTTTTGCTAAGCCCTGCTCTGAGCCCTTCTAGGCCCTGATAAACTTGCGCAAGCCCTGCCGAACCCCGGTCAACCTTGCCACGCCCCGCTGAGCCCTGCCAAACACTGCCAAGCCCTGCTGAGCACTGGCACGGCCAGGCAAGTTCGGCTAAGTCCTGGCGCGACCTGCCGAGCACAACGAGGCCCTGCCAAGCATTGCTAGGCACGGGTGAACTCTGCATTGCCTGTTCGGCCTTGCTAAACTCAGCCAAGCATTGGTAGCCTTGCGATGCCCTGGTGGACCCTGCTAAGCCATGGGGGGGCCTGCTAGACATTGTTAGTCCGTGGCAAGCTCTGATAAGCGCTGCCAGGCCCTGCTCAGCCTTGGTAAGCTTTGCTCAGCCTTGTTGAGCTTTGGTAAACCCTGGCAAGCTTGTGCATGACCCTCGTGAATCTTGCTGAGCAACACGGGGTCCGCGGTCGGGGGGCCCATGGCAAACGGCACTCAGTAAAGAATCCTTCGCAAGGAACCCATACTCTGGGGCCGCCAGACATGGAAGCCCTTGCGCAGGAATCCCTAGCCGGGCATCCTTCGCAAGGATTTCTCAACAAGGGAACGATCGCAAGGGTTCTCTCGGAACCAACCCTGAATAAAGAATCGCAGGCGTGGAATCCGAAGCGGGGCGATCGTCGCGAGGAGTCCTCGCTCGGGGGTCATTCGCGAGGAATCGCTCGAAGGGGGCGCGTGCTTCCCAAAGAACCCCGCTGCAGGGGCCCCTTCTGTAAACGCCCCTGAAATGAGAATCCGTCGCCAGGAATACACGACAGGGGGTCTTCTGTAAAGGGTCCATGATAAGGAGTCCTCGATCATGCTCAGTCGGAGTCCTCAATAAAAATCCTTTAGTGAGAACGCCCACTACCACTCCTCCGCCTGCTGGCGTTCCCGCGTCGGTCGCGCGATGGGTCGCGCAATTGGACCGGGGCAGGCGGGTCGCCGTAGCACCGCGGAGGCGCGGGCGGGAGGGTGGGCCGGAGACGCGCGCGTGAAAGCTCCCTGGCCGCAAGTTCCGCGCCTCGGAGACCTCTTCCCTTAAACCACGATCAGATCAATAATAAACGGACGGCAATGTTTGCCGGAGTCGGCAGATTTTGCTGGAGGGTTCGGTTTGGCCGGATCCGATTGTTTGTTGGGCTGTGATGCGGTTGTTGGTTAGATTATTTGTTAGACTCTTTGCAAGGTTGTCAAAAGTCGAGTTTCAAGCGAATTTGATCAAAACTAGATTTTCGGGCTCTTGAAAAGCAAGTTGCAAGCAAAACTTTATCAAAACTTGCCCATTGGATGTGTCCGAAGTAAAACTTGGGTCAAAACTTGATTCTGTCACGTTGGAGAAATCGCATGGGTTAGGTCATCTTGGGCCGAAGATTCGACATAAGATTCGGTCGAACCCATATGTTTGACAAAGACTGCTGGATCCGACAATGTTTGCCGTTCGGCTTTTTTCTGCCGGATGCCGGCTTAAGGGCTTGCATTTGCCTCGAAGCAAAGCCCTGCAGGAAAGCCCGTTCAACGAATTCGAGGCGAGGTCGCGGGCGGGCCCAGCGATTCGTCGCCATCCTTCGGGCCCGGGCCCAGCCCGCGCTCTGGGCCCGCGCCCGCCGGCGAGCCCCGGCGGGCCGAGCGCGACAATGAGCGGGGCCCGCGCCTGATCACGCGGAGCGGACGAAGGAACATAAGAGAGAACGCCAGCATGCGCCTGCCAATGCAACGTCGATATCACAAACGCTGCTCTGCTGCAACCACCTTTCGCTGCCAGGCTGGTCCACTGCCGCGCTGCGCCCCCCCCTCCCCCCACCACTCGCGCAGCGCGCGCGTTGTCCGCGGAGGAAAGCGCCCGCTATCACTCCTCCGCCTGCTGGCGTCGGGGACGTGATCCTGCGTCCACACCGCAGTGCAGAATCTGGTGACCCAAGCGAGCGCAGGCTCTCCGTCGTCTCTAGCGGCTTGCCAAAACTAGCTCGGCCTATCGTCGAGGCCGCCTGCGGGAGCGTTTTCCTCCGTGATGGCATTGAACTTCACCGGCAGCTCGTCGGTCAGCGCAGGTGTCCGGCAATGCCATGGTTGGCCCGACAAGCATCAACGTGTCGGCCTGGTTGTCGCTGTCGACCAATTCCCCAGCGCTGTCGCGGAGCCGACCCTGCGCAGGACAAAAGTCCCGTAGTACATTAAGGATTTGCGTCAAGTCTCCATGATGCGTTAGTTTTTCTGGCCATCGAGCCCTGTCCCCTGCGACCCACGCTATGATGCGTATCGCCGTATCTCTATTTCTCGTGGGCGGCGTCACTGGCGAGGGCGTCATTGCTAATATGAGGCGCTCGTCATCTTTGCGTCTCGAACGGCAGGGAGCATTCCAGGGTCTTCTTTGGCCACTGGCGGCGCGAGGAGCCAGGAGGGTCCTTTTTGGTCCCAGGTGGCTCCAAGAGGGCCCCAGGGAGCCCAAGATGGCCCCCAAGATCGCCCAGGACACCCCAAGATTGACCCAAGATGGTTCAAGATGTCCCTCAACATGTCTCCAAAAACCCTTCAAATCGGCCACGACGGCCCCAAGCGCCCTCCAAGCCGAGCCTCCCAAGGAGGCCCCTAGGAGGTCAACATCCTTCAAGACCACTGTGTGTTTCAATGTGGGTTGCCTTTTCGCTTTTGATTTTCCGATGGGCTCTTGAGGCCTTGAAGTGGCTCCAAGATGTCCCAAGATGATTCCTAGAGAGCCCAAGAGGGGCCCAAGACAGCCCGATGAACGCCCAAGATCCCAAGACCGCCCAAAGAGCGACCCAAGAGGGACCCAAGCAGCAAAAGTTCGGAACCAGACGGGGGGGGCAGTACTTGAGTACCCCCATCTTGATCGATGATCTCCAAGATGGCCCCCAAGGCCTCCAAGAGGGCAGCAAGTAAGCCCCAAGAGGGCCCCAAAAGATCCCCAAAAGAGCCCCAAGAGGCCTCTCAAGATGGCCCCAAGAGGGCCCCACGATGGCCCCGAAAGGTATCAAAGACGCTCACAGAGCGAACGGTCGCGCAGGTCTTGATCTTGACTCCTGTCGTTGCCGTCGTCGTCGGAGGCGGCGGCGGTGGGCGACGAGCCGTGAAACGCACGCAACGACGCGGACGCCATTGATCAAACGCACACTGAGCCCGTGGCTGCTTTGGTTGAGTGGTTGCCTCTCGTTGTTCCCTGAATGGTTCCCCGTTGTAGTCGCAGTCAATTCGTCGCAGTCGTCGTCCTCGTCGTCAGCATCGTCTTCGTCGTCCTGCTACGCGTCCCTGATCAAAGCAACTCGCCTGGTGTCGACTTGTGCATGGGCGGGTGGGGATACGCGAAGCGTCAAGTTCCACAAGCATGGTGGCGGGGTTTGCCGCAAGCAGCTAAATAACGTTTCTAGGGTCCTGTATGAACGAATCCGGATCCGGCATCGGTCGCCCTTGGGCTCCCGTAAGGTCTCCATCTGGTTGTCCGCATTGTATTATTTCTGGTCTCTCGTATGGTCTCCCTTAAGTATGGTATCCCTGAAGGCTTCCCGTATGATACCCCTTATGGTGTTCCTGCTTATGGCTTCCCTTTTGGAGCTGCCTAAACTAGTTCGTTCCTACACTACCACTCTGTATCGTATTCCCTATCGCGTTCTTGTAATGGTCTGCACAGCTGTTTAAGGCCTTCTACCGCCTGGGGTTCAGTTGCTAACTTGTTCCTGCGATTCAACTTGCGCCCTGGGCAAGACAGGAAATAGCGACAGCCACCCGCATGAATGCGTCGTATGCGGTGCCCTTCTTCTTGCACACCTCGTACAGCGCCTGAAACTGGCTGCGTCCCCGACGTCGACCCACGGCGCATGGCGCGCTTCGTCGCGAAACAGAGAGGGGGGATACCAACTGACCTCTTCCTCCTCCTGTTCCTCCTGCTCCTCCTGCTCCTCCTGCTCCTCCTCCTGCTCCTCCTCGTCCTCCTGCTCCTCTTCCCTCCTCCCTCCCTCCTCCTCCTCCTCCTCTTCCTCCTCCTCCTCCTCCTCCTCCTCCTCCTCCTCCTCCTCCTCCTCCTCCTCCTCCCAGTCCTCCTGGTCAGCCTCCACCTCTCCACCTCCTAGTGCTCGGGGTCACTATCCTGTCCCTTTTCCTCTTTCTCCTCTTCCTCCTCCTCCTCCTCATCATCATCATCCTCTTCCCCCTCCTCCTCCCATCCCTTCTCCTCCTCTCCCTCCCTGCCCGCGCCCCCATCCACCCCCCAACTTCCCTGCTACCTGCACTTTCTCCCTCGCTCTCAAATTCGTTACCTCTTTTTTTTGTTCTCTCTCTCTCTCTCTCTCTCTTTCACTCGCTTTCTCTAGTCTCGGCGGAAGCCTCAGCGGAAGCTGCGCACTTTGGCGACACCGTCACGTGGTGAGACCGCTCCCCCCGCCCAGTCGGGGCAACCGAATCGCCGTCTTCAATTTCCCCCCCGCCGGCGCGCTCCATTACCCCTCCGCGATCGCTCCGCCGCGCGACCCCAGCACACCCTCCAGCGGCTCAACCGACGGGAGACCCTCGACGCACAGCACCCAACCCCGAGAGCAAACTCGCGCGAAGGACGCATGCATTGAGGCTCTCCGCCAAGGCGGAGTTGACCGCTCAGTGCCCGCCTACAGTGATCTCGCCCGTGTCGCCGGCGACGCACTCGAGGTGGCCTGGAACACCCGCCGTGGTTCCCCAGAAGACCTCTGACGCGCACTCCACCGCCTGTGCGCTTCCTACAAGGTCTCCCAGGACCGTTCGCATTACGAGCGCACCCGCGCCAAAAATGCCACGCGTGACGAAGCTCAGCCTCGGCCGCCCTAGGCCAAGGTCGCTACCCCATGCCACTCCCTGGATCCGAGCCACTGGGACGTGCCAGTCACCAAGGCTGCGGAACCGGTGATGGACGCAAACACGGGCGCGACCACGCACAAGAGCTCAGTCGCCCTGTGCGCGGCCGAAAACGCCCTTGCCATCCTGGCCGCGCTCCAACGCCAGGACGAAACCCTCGCCTTGGTCGTCCTCGGCCCCAAAGACCCGCAAAACACATACCGCGAATGTAATGTCCCCGTGGTCCGGCGGACACCGCAATCCGCTTGACCGCGGCCCGCCCACCTGGACGCTACCCGAGGTCCAACTCATCCAAAACTCCATGGAAGTTGAGCTCGACCCCGCGCTGCAAGTAACATGCATCCGTGGTACCATTTGGGAAGATGAAGCCACGGCTGCCACCGACTTGTCCGCCCAGCAGTTCGCAGACGGTGCCCCGATCAAAGGGCAGCGCAAGCCCGGCAAGGGAGGCGAATCTGCTCAGCAACGCGCCGCGCAGCGTCACCGCGAAGCCACGGCCATCCCCGAGAGGCTGGTGCTAGACGCCGAGTTTTAGTGAGGTCTTGATATATTACGCGAGCAGCTCATCCCGCACTCCGCATTTGTCGAGCCCTGCAAGTCCCTGTTCCGCCAGGGGAGGCAAGCGGACAAACGCAATGTGTCTGCCACTTTCGGCGTCAAGCCTGTCCGCGTCCACGACGTGCTCAGCGCGTCTGGCCAGCACGGGGCCGCCTTCGACACCCCCTTCGCCCGAGGCGCCCCGCCTGCCGACGCTGCCGCCACATGCGATTCCATTTGACGCCCCGACCCCGGGCCAACCTTCGCCGTGGCCCACGCTGACTCAGTCAAGCTGAAAGCCATTCGTGTCCACCGCTGGCCCTGACACAGGGCCCCCCGAGTCGGCCTGCGAGCGCCCGCGCAGGCCCGCCAACACCGAGGCTCAGCCAGTCGGCCACCCAAACAAAACGGCGACGGCCGCGGCCAGCCCTCAAACCTGGTCCGCTCAGCGCGTCAGGATCAGGGCCCGGCACCCCGCTTCGGCACCTCGCCCCCTACTGGCGGCGAGGTCTCCATCCACCGCGGACGGCGCGACTCCCAGTCTCGCGGTGCCCATTCAACCCGGCGGGGCCCTGCCGCCGGACATGGCAAGCTCTTTCGCGGGCTCTGCAACGCAACGCGCAACTCGGCCACTCCGCCGCCGCGCAACAACCTGCAAGGCGCTGGCGTCGCGCCCCCTGCCATGGTGCGCACCCTGTGGCGCGGCGCTGCAAACGCTGTCGACGCCCCAGCTCAGCCGCGCGGCTCAGCGGCACCACACGCGCCACGCGCCTCGTCGGCTGCCTCGGCCCCCCGCCCAGCGGAGCCTGCCTACGCGAGCGACCACGAGGCCGAGGACGTCGACTGCGCGAGCCCTGAGGACCCGCGCTCGCCAGACAGCGCGTTCCCGCCCGACGGAGCGTCGGTTCCCCCGCGCGCGCATAAGCGGCCGCCGCCACCGCGCCCGCCGCCGCGCCGCCGCTGGCCGCCGCCGCCCTTTTTGCTTTTCTACCCTCATCCTCCTCGCTCGCCTCCCTCGAGCCGCTCCAGCCCTTTCGGCCGCGCGGGCGCAGCTGAGCCGCCGCGGGGCCTCACGACATTTTGCAAGTTCGGCCCGGGCATGTCTCGGGTAGTGCCCCCCCCCCGCCAACGAGAAGACCCCGCCTTCATGCGCGGGGATGGCCCACGCACGCGCCACTTTCTGAATTCTAGCGCCACCAGCCATGGGATCTCTATACGGACCTAAAGGACCACATTGTGTCGGCAGTGTGCTTGTCAGAGACCCGCCGCCCAGCGGGCCGCCGCGCCGCCTTCCACTCCTGCTTCAAAGCTGGGGAACGTGGCAGCCGGAATCCCGCCCTCAGCAGATCGCCGCCTCGCGAATTCGCCACTCGGCGTGGATGGCGGGGCGGCGCCGACCACCCCCAGCGCTCTCGCCAAGGAGATAGCGCCATCGCAGCGCAGGGGGCCCAGGTGGACACCTGCGCTGACACCCCCGCAATCGCCCAATTCATGCAGACCGACCGCTGGGTTGAAGCCTGCGACCCGGGCCCTGTCCCGCGTAAGGCACGCGGGCGCGCCGCCGCGGGTTTTTACCTGGCACCCCTGGGTGCCGCCGGGGCACGGACAACGCGGGCCTCTTCCGCCTGGCCCTCGCCGCCGCTGCGCGCGTCGGCGCGGCGTCCTACTTTCTTCGCGTAGACGCCAACATCGACATTGACCGCTCGCCGATTCTCCAGGGCGCCATCCGCCTCGGCTGGACCAACGTAGCCTCAGGCTACCCACGCAAGCGTGATCGCACTTTCGGCCAGTTCAAACGCTGGGACAAACGCACCATGGAGTCGCGACCCCTCTCGCATCGATCACGTTCTCGCCAACCCCCAGGCGCGCCAACTGGTCGCAGATATCGCGCTCCTGCGGGGCCCCCCAGCACCTGGGTCTCCAGGTTGCGCTGGATATCGACCTGGGCAAGCAAGAAGCCCTCCGCCTCGAGCCAACCAGGCCTCATCATCCCTTGCCCGACCACGCTCCGAAGATGCATGGCCTCGGTGAGGCAATCGAGAGAGCCTGCCCCGACGCCCTCCAGGCGGCGGACGACGCCGACGACCCCGACGCAATGTTCAGGATCGCCGAGGACACGGCGCACGCAATCCACGCGCGAGCTCAGCTCGACGCGGGCACGAGGGCCGCCCCAGGCCAGCGCAGACCACCAATCACGCACCACCGCCACCTTCTACGCTGGGCACGCCCTCCCCAGAGTCGCCCCCGATGCCAGGGCCACCGAACGCGTCGCACTCAAGCGGCAGCGACCCCTGCGCCAGCTGGAGCCCTTGGCGAGGGCGCAGCTCGCCGTGGTTTTCGGAACCACCACGCTTGGACCAGCGCTACTCAGCTCAACAAACGCCCGGGCGCACAGCTTGGCTCCGCCACCCACTTCCCCGGAAGGGCAACTGCTAGCCGATCTCGCGGCCCAAGTCCACGCGGACATCCAGCGCAACCGTGGCCGCCGCAAGGCCGCGCGCATCAAAGACTGGACCAGCCGCATGCCCGCGATGGACCACGGTCGATCCAATGCTGCCTGGGCCAAGGCCGCTGGCACCTCGGCCGCGCACTGCCTGCGCGCGCGCCGATTCGCGCGCCTTGGCTGACGACGACGCCGAAGCACGGCGCGCCATCGGCCTGGCGCACCAGCGACCCAGCGAGATCATCGCCGACGCCCAGACGTTGCTCAAACGAATGGTCGGCACTTGGGGGCCTACTTGCGCGACGCCGCGCCCGCGACTTCCGCGATTGCGAGCCGCTCCCCGCGCGGAGTACCTTCGCGGTGGAGTGCGCCGCTGAACAGGTCCAAACGGGGCCCTTCACCCTCGAGGGCGACGTGCTTATTGATTTCATCCGCCGCCGCCCTGCCCGCCGCGCAAGCGGGGCCACCAAGGAGGCGCTCCTGGACGGCCTGCCCCGGCTGTTCGCCCGCGCCCGGCGCGACAAACCCGAGCCCCTCCTCCGCGCCCCGAACTCGCGTTCGCGCAGAGAACACAGAACTCGCAAACGACCCGCGGCCCCCGTCCGCGATGGCGGCGTGCGTGTACGCCTGGGAAAGGCCATCCTGCAAGTTCCTCGGGATATGGCGTTCTCAGCGGACCCGCGCTACCAGCTTGGGCGCCGCCCCGCGCGTTGCCATCGGCCATCGGCGACGCCGTCGCCGCCCTCGCTCTTCAGGTCGAACGCGCGCGAGCCCTCTCCCTCCAACTTAACAGAGCGGCAGTGGACCGCCAGAAGTGCTTCGACTACCTGATCGCGGACGTCTGCCCCCAACTCGCCAAGCATGCTGGATGCCCAAACGACGTCACTGCCGTCCGGTCCAACTTCCCGGGCCAAGCGCTGCGCCCGCGCGGAGGTGGCCCATTCGCGGCCACTGGCCCGCGCCAACGGGCACCTTC